CGGTATACAACAAGTTCAAGTCTACATGAGAATAAAACAGTAGTAAATTCCCGTGAATATTCCCTCTTGAGCGTCAATAAACCAGGATAAAGTCCGTTGAATTAATTTATAGCCAAGAGGAATCACAACAATACTTCCTAAGAAAATCACGATCAACCAGCCAACACTCATGTCGCCTACACCAGTCTATGCTGTAGCGTCCAGGTGAACAATATAAGGAGGAGAGGACTACAGAAACCCAGGCAAAATACTTAGACCGTGAGGCAGTAGAGATATAAAGTAAACATAATAAATAAATAAGAGATGGAAACTTAGAAAAACAGAAGTTAGAAAACAAAGGGATGAGTGAAATCGCAGGCCGAGAGCGCTGAGTTAATGTTCAAACTCCTCCCCCGTTGGCGCTAACACCATGTCCTTGGGTTACGCATTCTAGGAATCGACAAACGGAAATCGACCCCAACCCGATCAGATCGGTGCTTATGTAACTACAATGAGTGAGCAAGATGGAGCAGTCGAGATAGCTCGGAACTAATCTGACTAGTCAATATAGCACAGGTAAGAACTAAGTCCCCTGGGAACATCTAGGATGTAGCGAAAACACTTACAACCTGAGCAGCCGATCGGGATATAACAGATGCTTTAACACATTTTAGTAGCAATCGTTAAAGCCCGCTCAATTGCCATCCTGCCGAAGACCAATCATGGGGGACAGGCCTGCGCGTAGTACTCCAGGTATGGCGTAACGAAGGCTGAAAACAATAAACATTGCGTTATCATCCCAAAGGACCCGTGGATCATCCACAGCATCCGGAAGTACTTCGAGCATATCTTCCAGTTCCAGCTGTATTTGAACTCTGATGACTGTGAAATTTCCAAATCGATCCGATGGATCACTTGCGGTACTTCATTTCTGCTCAGTAAGTAGCGTGCCGATGACGTACTGGGTTCTATGAGCAGAAACGAACACTTTGTAAGACTTACAGGCTACTGCCACAAATCTGAGCACTGTCAAATCTTACCAATGGCCTGTTGCAAAGCCAACGACTCATCAGCATCACTGACTGCAATGAAATTGCACATAGGCTGCAAACAGAATGAACGGAAGTTTGAGTTTATCCAGGTCTAGCCTTTGACTCCACAGTATGACCCAAAAGACACTGTGATACATGGAGGTTCACTTGGGGGACTCGAACCGGAGCTTTTGGCTCAATAGCCTGACCCACAAGGCAATGGGGAGCAAGTCCAGCTCAGAAGTGTGAGAGCAGAGACCCATTGGGATCTGGTTCAGGCCTATCACACACATCCTTTAAAAATTTAGAACGCAATTGTGTTTTGACCTTACCTGCAGCCACGACCAGCCGCAGATGGGTTGGCGGGTTTGCACTAATTTGACCAGGGGCTTAGGGCAAGCGGTAGCAAATCAATGAGCACCGGAAGGTGTCCTCTCACCGTCAGAGACAATGCATGATGCTTGTACTCTACGCCAATCGAGCTGTGAGCTTATAACCCGCAGACCTGTTGTTGCCCATGGCCAGGTTTTAAAGGACGAGGGCCATCGATATCTCCCTAGTCTCCGATAAAGACTGAATTGTGAGACTGAGTTAGTCTGACCCCTAACTATTGACCTGTCTGGTATGATTGGATTTGGAGACACTTGGAAAATGTTAAGCAGTGTAGCTCAATGGGTCACAGGGGTACGCAAACCATCGCAAGACGTTAAAGGCCAGTCTCGTTGCGATGGAAACGTGATGCACCAAGGATATGAACCTCAAATGAAAGGCCGACACACAGACCACCAGACTACAGATGGCTTTAAAATCAGAGCGTCAGGCATTTGGAGTTAGAATAACGCACCTTTGAAGAATTTAATCTAGGATACACTTGAAGGACAAGTGCACGTAGTCACTAGCACCTAAGAGGGAACCATATACTAGGCCTCTCACATTCTACCGACCTTGCAAAGGCAAGAACTAAGAGGAGTTTTAACCAACCTATAAACATAGTGGGCTGCTTAATGGTGAAACTACCTGAGAGTGTTTCGCAGAAATTCCGCTAATTAACCACAGGAGCAGTAAAACCATCCATAACCAGACATCTAACATGAAAATCATCCATAATCAAGGACCGCTTGACGCCCTTTCAGGACTACTGTATATAATCACAGTTTTAAACTGCGTGAAAAAGGCACACATCCACAGAAAGAGCATTAGTAATTCTAACTAAGGTATGGAACAAGTTTGTTCGCAAAACAGGGTGGACAAGCCGTATAAAGCAACTTCCCCTCCGCGACTGTCAGAAGCGCGAACGGAGTGTAACGATATCTGACTGGGAGCATTTCACAAAAGCGCTAACATCGCATGCGCTGTTCCGAAAACTAAGCACGTTATTGAGGAATGCCTTTAAAAAATTGGCATCGTGAGAAAGGGGTCGTGTGCCAGCAAAACGGGACCTGACAGCGGAAGTAGACCTCCAGTTCACATGACAACCGAAGACCTGTTTCATTCGCCTCACGATGCACTTTAAGGTCGTCGATGGCTTCTTTTAGTCTCAACCTATGCCAAGAGGAAGTAAGGCCGAGCACTGTTCCCAGAACCCCTGAGTTTGAACGCAAGGTAAAGAAGCGCTGGGTGCTCTTCTGAGGTAGAAAAAAAGCCAGTATGCGAGGTCGGACGTTTGAGATAGCGACCCTCACGAGCCACAGCCTATTGAGCTTGCACACTGTTACGCCAGAGAATCCAGGAGGAAGTACTCGGAAACCGAATTTAAACTATCCAAGATCCACTACTATTCGCACATTCGGTAAAGCAACAAATGACTGTGATATGCTCAAAAACAACCGTTATCGGTATACTATTCACTGCGCAGGGAAATGGGTGCCCCCTCCAAGCGACACAAACGCAGGGGCCGACAAATCGGCAGCTGAATGTGTTGAAGCAATAGCCGCATACGATGACAGAGGTGGTAGCGTACATTCCTGACGACTCGAGGTGCAAAGAACTTGTTGGACATACTGCATTTTTCAACTACCTTTTGCAGGCACGGGAGCTCGCAACATCTTATCGCTAAGGGCGGAACTATAGACCAATTTGAATGATCCTCAAGAACTAATTCTCTGTTAAGAAAGGCGTTACATAGACGGACTCTTGGGGTGTTGCACACTATGAGAACATCCGAGGATTATAATCTCTATTATCCCATAAACCCATTTGGAGAGGCCAATAACAAAATCATTACGTATTCTATTTCGTTTAACCTAGAAACCAGTGAGGTGAAATTTCCGTCGTGGTCATACAGCGCCGCTTTAGGCCTACAACAGTTACGAGCTGTAAATTAAAGTCTCGCTCTATGCTAGTAACGCATACTGCTCCGGAGCCTACCCGGTGCATGCTTCGCGGAACCAGACTATGAACATCACACTGCACACTACCCGAATAGTTGGTTTCAGGTCCACAGCAACTTACTGTCACAGCCCAAATGAATTGGCTAGCAGGGCACACTAGGATGCATGGTTACAAAGGAAAAGAATGGGGGCGACTATACTCTATTTAGGAAGGTAAAATAAAAGTGCGGACCGGCTTGTGATGGCCTAAAATGCAGTTTCATCATTATCATTAAACACGTTAGCTAGAGGTGGGTAACATCTCAGCTACTGTGCCGCAATACACAGAAGAAAAAAGGAGATAAATACGCATCAGGTGTAAGTCAGCTGAGCTACCGATAACGGATGGGCATCGTTCCGGTAAGCAACCAGCCGGCTACTATGCCGCAAAAAATTACTATGCAAAATTATATAAGGCAAAATAGTGAGATCGTGGTTGGAGGGGGAGGCTAAGAGGGATGGGGTGGGACAAAGAAACTCACAGCACGAACGCCACTGGGGTCGGCTCTTAGCCATATCAGTGTATCCAGCCAAACGTGTTCATCGTCTTTCGGACCCCAACCAGAGAGCCGAGACGCTCCAATCGAGGCAAGCTTCGAAGTGAGGGCCTCCATTCCTCTCGAACAAGTCATTGTTTGGTATACAACGATGCGATGCGGTTTGCGAGAGCAGAGATCAGACAGCACAGCGAGTGACGCCTGTACCAATTTGAACGCATTGAAGCGTACGCAATGTGGCGCAATCATTCGACGAAAATAACGTCAATCCAATCGATGAAACGTTACAGGAAATACTCAGTGGGATGGCAAACAAATGCAAATCTCCTGTAGATGGCGAGTAGTCGGTCGGTGGACAAGTGGTCTGCCCGCCTGGTTTGCGATCATAAGGTCATCGGTTCGAATCCGCGTAGGGGGGGGCGTCCTCGACTGATGGTGGTCCCGCGGCAACGAAGCGTCGTTACGGTGTACATCTGGCGATTGTCTATTTTCATATTATATGGCCAGTCAGTGGAACATCATGACAGCACATTAGGAGAACGGCACATCAGACAAGAAAATGTGGGAAACCTAAGAACACAAAAACCAAGTGACACAAGCTTCAGTACCTCAAGCTGACGCAGTTGTAGATGGCAAGCAGTCGTGTCATCCGGCAGTAAAATTTAACTGATGCTCAGTCATATTGATTCATTCACATACCATAAAGGCAACAAGCTGGCCCGTGGCCTAAAGGTAACAAGCTTACCTTGTAATCTGGGGGCTCGGGTTCGAGCCTGCGTAGGGGCAGGGAGACCCACGAAGTATATAAGCCCACGTGCGACTGGTGGTAATTGTGTGGCAGCGAAACGTCGGTACTACGTACCGGCTCAATGCTTATGCCATAAGGTCAACAAAAGGCATCAACATTGTGTTGGTACATAGTACAGACGCTTCACTGCCACGCAACCACGTCGCGCGTGGATTATGGATACTGCGAAGGTCGCCCGGTCCACTATACAGGCCCGAACCCGCAAACTCCGGATTGAGAAGCAGGCTTGTGATCCTTTCGGTCATGCGCCAGCAGCATGTCATAAGTTAACGTGGGTACAAAAAGGTCGCACAAAATAATGAACCTGTCAAATTACCGATGTGTTCATCCACTTTAAAGATTTTCTCGATGCTTGCGGGAACGATAAGCGGAGAGTTTATACGCTTTTCGACAGCCATGACAATACCCTCAGGAGTTTTAATACCGATTCCAGTAGAACCGAGCTAGAAAAAGTCACCAGGCAAGAGCAAAAGTACTTTTGTAGCCTCGATCGCATATTCCACCTGAAATAATCTACCCTCGGGAGAAAATGTGTTCACACCGCGGTCGTACTCGGTGCGAGTAAGAAACATAACTATGGCGGATAGGACAGGCAACGCGGTTGCTGCAGCTAATAGGTAGCGGAGAATTCTCCTAACGCGCGAAACTTGGAATGCGCGCGGAAGATCTGAGAACGGCGGGCTTTCAAAGTTAAGTATTGCCAAGCACGGATTTCGTTTACCAGCAAAGTATCCGAGCAATTCTTGCCATTACAGTAAACATATTGTTTAACCACACGAATCAGAATTTGCGAAACATTAAGCTATTATCCCCTGTGAGCCTTCTTAGTTAATGGATGCCACGGTAACAATTTGTAGCTTTCTAATGTCTTGAGAGCAAGCAATAAAGAAAAACTAACGCCCAAATAAACTTACTAAGCAATGCTGTGCAAAGGTATACCTTGATGTTCCATCCTAACCTAGAATAAGTTGCAAGCATGACGCTGGAATGCGCAGAAGCCTTCCTGTAGAGGTTTAAGCATATAAAGATATTGAAGTTTTAACCTTTGAATGTCATCCTTGTGCACTTAGCACTGCTTTCTTTCCTGTATGGTTTCAATTTTAGGATGTGCACCGCGAACCCAGAATTCGAACCCCTTCTGCACGACTGACAATCCGGTACACTACCATTAAGCCTATTCGGGTAACCTATGCTGCCGAGGAGCTAACCAAAACACTACCTGTCGAAGCAACCTCAAAACGGTTGCAAAAATGAGAATTTTTCATACTTTATGGTTACTACAGGTCAGATTAACACGATTTCAGCATTTCTTTCGCCAGTTTTTGCTTTATTTGGTCACCACAAACAGTAGAAGAATTATCCACTACCCTCGCTGTCCAAGCCCGCAGCGATAGACTGCCAACCGACGCAACTGAGCGCATTTTCGATCACTGGTTGCCAAATAAAATAAGAAAGGAAATAATGTAATATGCTTAGGTATGTTTGAGAATATTATTATACATCCCATACCTTGGTAAGGCTTTACCAGTAAGTGCTCACTAACAAGTGTAATCGTACTGCGGAAGAGAGAACTATAGATCGCAGCTGAGTGCTCGTTTTTGTACATGTTGCCGTTCCACTGAGACGTTTTTGGGATGAAGTTCAGGCACACAAAATTTATCGTTTAAGCTTTAAAAGTTTAGTGCCGCGTAAGTACGGCTTGGCGATGGGTTCCGTAAAACATTGACGGTATTTAAGCTTAGAAAAACGTTGCACTGAAAAAGCCTTGCATAGTGAACAATAGTATTCCGAAATGTGTATCCGGGAGACATCCAGGAATAAAAACGTTGTCACGCTGGGCACTCCAAATATCTGTATCGATTACAATCAAAGTGTAGTGATAATGACATTTTATTCCATCAAGCATCGCCATCAGACTTGTACACATTTTGTTTTACCTTGCACTCCTCCTAAGCCTATATATACCGGACTGCATTTTTGAACTTGGTCCGCCATATTGCCCGCGCGTTGCCGGCTGTTGCGCTCCGATGTGGCGTAACTGCTTCACCACTTTCTCCCAATGTCCTCAAGCCATATTTACATGGGTATTGTACTGTGATGTTTTCTCAAGACAAGCTTTATATCCTGCCGTCTTCTGTCTTATTGTGCTACGGATTTCTTGTGTAGCATTCGTCAGGACGCTATATAATTGGTGACCCCAATCGCATTCCGGTGAGTTCGTTCCATTTCTTTGGTTTTTCCACGCAAGCCATGGCCTCAGTTTCTAAAAAGTGTGAAGACTCACAGTTTGTGCAAGCGGTATCTCTTGTAGTTCCACCATTTATTGAAAAAGAGCCCGTCTTGTGGTTCATGATATTAGAAGCTGAGTTTACTTCTAAGCATGTTACTAGTGCCTCAGCAAAGTTTAACCACTTGCTAACACGCCTGCCAACCGATATTACTATAGCACTACATGATCCCATTACTACATATCGTTCTCCTGGCCGTTACTATTTGCTCAAAAACGCTGTAATAAAGCGTGTTACTCCATCAGAGAAGTACCGCCTGCATTAACACTTACTGGTCTACAACTAGGTTCTAGTAAGCCATCCGCGCTATTGCTAGAGATGCGTGGTCTTCTTCAAGGATTGCATATGGACGAGTCGCTGCTTCGAGTGTTATGGCTTCAGCGTTTGCCTGAAAACGTAGAAGCTATGCTATCGCTTGCGAAACCGCAGCCTTTGTCAGAAGTTGCAGGTATTGCTGATGACGTGATGGATCTTTTTACCGGATCACCGTGTCCGTCGTCTAGTTTTGTTCGCTCACCTGACGTAGGCTTTACTGCTGACCCTTCGGTCCAAACCATCGACACCGCTACTCCACCTTCGACTGGCGAGCTCCTAGCACAGATAGCCGCGCTACGGCAAGAAGTTCAAAGCTTAAAGTTACATCGGCACCAACGAGATTCTCCATCCCGTTCCCCTAGCCCATCTCGGAGACTAACACGACGCCCAATTTGCCCCTATCATGCACGTTTTGGAAAGTCCGCTAGAAATTGTATTAAACCATGCTCATTTCCCATAACGGGAAATGTACAGGCCGCCACGTAATGGCGACGAACGTCGTCGGCCGGAGTCGTCCAAATCGCCTCTTCAAAATCGTTGATGGAAACACCTGGATCATGTTCCTGATTGATACCTGGGCGGAAGTTAGCGTGAACCCACCGGTTCCAGGTGACGCGACTAAGCCACAGACAACCAACATGCGTGCCGCTAACGGCACTTATATCCGAGTTTTCGGTCAACGCTCCCTTACCATTGACCTCGGACTACGACGTCTCTTTCGATGGCTTTTCACCATCGCTGCTGTTCCGTTTGCTATATTGGTTATCGACTTCCTCCAACACTTCGATCTTCTCATCGATGCGCGTCATCGCAAACTCGTTGACAAACAGACCAAGCTGTTCACATGTGGAGTTCGCACATCCAGTTTTTCTGTCACTCCCATTTGCTTTCAGCCCGAAGCTGATTAGGAATTTTTAGATCTGTACAGACAGTTTCCGCAGCCGGTCCACTCAGCTGACGCTACGCTTTCGATCGCATCTAGCGTTACACACCATATACGAACCCGTGGCCCACCGGTTTCTGCATGGCCACGACGTCTCGCCCCTGATAAGCCAAAAGCCGCTAAGGCGGAATTCGAGCTCATGCTCGCAGTTTGTATCATCCGTCCTTCCGAAAGTCAGTGGGCCTCACCTCCCCGCATGATGCCCAAGAAATGCGGCGACTGGCGGCCCTGCGGAGACTACCGGGCGCTGAATAAGTGCACAGTTGCAGATAGGTACCTTTTACCGCACATCCAGGAACTTACAAGTAGTCTCGGAGGTAAGTCAGTGTTTAGTAAGATGGATCTGACGCGAGCATATCACCCGATTCCTGTAGAGGACTGCGATATCCCCAAAACGGCAGGTATAACACCCTTTGGTTTTTCGAGTTCCTTAGAATGCCTTTCGGGTTAAGGAACGCTGCTCAAACATCCCAGCGCTTCATCCATGACGTTACTCGTGGGATGGACTTCGCATATCCTTAAGTGGATGACATCCTAGTAGCTAGCGCCTCTAAGTCGCAACATTTAGAGCATCTGCGTACTCTATTCCAACGCCTATCTGATCGAGGCGTTACCTTGAACCCTAGCAAGTGCGAACCAGGAAAATCGTCGATCGAGTTCCTAGGTCACCGCATCTCAGCTACAGGTATTGAACCACTGTCTCAAAAGGTAACCACCATCAAAGATTTCCCTGAACCTACGTCGTTTAAACAGCATAAACGTTTCCTTGAATAGTCAACTACTATAGACGCTTTATTCCTTGTTGTGCTATGATAATGCGGCCCTTGACTGACTTGCTTCGGGGTAATCAACGTTCGTTTGTTTTTACCAAGTCCGCGCGATTAGCCTTCTCAAACCTTAAAGACGCAATCGCTAATGCTACTCACTTAACACATCCCGTACCACCTGCTCCAATTTCTCTCGTCACTGATGCCTCAGACGAGGCCTTTGGTGCTGTTCTTCAGCAGGCTGTCGACAATACTTGGCAACCATTGGGTTTCTTTTCGATACGGTTGCAACCAACGGTGACACGTTACAGCAACTTCGGGAAAGAACTTCTGGCAGTTTACCTCGCCATCCGACATTTTCGTCCTTTTCTAGTGGGCAGAAGCTTTAACGTCTTCACTGACCACAAACCTTTGGTTTACGCCCTCGACTCGTCATCTGACAGATACTCTCCGAGAGAGATACGCCACCTGGATTATGTCTCACAGTTTACGTCAAACATACGGCATGTCTCGGGTGTGCAGAACTCCGTCGCTGATGCTCTTTCACGTCACCTGAAGGTATCGATCTAGCGGCAATGGCTGCTGCTCAACAGACCGACACGGAGCTGGATCAGCTTCGTAACTCTAGCTCCTTACTCATACGACCAGTTCCACTGCCTACTTCGGAGAGAACCATACTTTGCGACGTTTCGCAAAATTCACCATGACCAGTGATTCCTCAAGCTTTCCGACGCACTGAGTTCGACATTCTTCACAGTTTATCGCATCCAGGCATTCGTGCCACAGATAAGCTCGTCACACGATGCTTCGTGTGGCGCAACGTCAACCGGGACGTTAGACAGTGGGCTCGTACTGCCTTAGTTGCCAACAGTCTAAGATTCATGGACACACGAAAAGTCCGCTTGGTTCAGTTCCACTTCTTGATGCTCGTTTTCACCATATTCTTGTTGACCTTGTTGGGCCACTGCCCCCATCTATATGATGCGTGTACTTGCTGACTTGTATAGAACGCTTAACAAGATGGCCTGCTGCCAACCCAATGCCAGCTTGCTCATCAGACACTGTCACTCGCGCTTTTCTAGAGCGAATGGGTCTCCTACTTTTGTTGTCCTGCCGTTGTGACAACTGATCGAGGTTCGCACTTCGCTGGCACATTTGCTGACCTTCTGCAGACTCTCGGCTGCCGGCACGTCCAAAAGACTGCATTCCACCCTGCCTCCAACGGCACGGTTGAGCGCTTTCACCGCCAGGTGAAAGCTGCACTATATGCCCAAGATAACGCAGACTGGTACGAAGCGCTTCCCACCGTATTAATTGGCTTACGGAATACTGTCAAAACCGACATTAAAGCTGCTCCGGCCGAACTCGTTTATGGCTGCACATTGCGTCTCCC